CGCTGGCAGCCACCTCTCACCCGGACGGTGGCAGAGGTCCCGACGAGGCCCTGGAGACTCTTCCCTCCTGGTTCTGGACCCAGAACCCCAGACTTTCCTGCCAGCCCTGGTTTCCCCTCCCAAAGAGGGTTTCCCAGCTGGGGGCATTTCTCCTTATGGGGGCGCCGGTCTGGCTCTGATGTCTGGCTCCCAGATCTGGTCCCCACATTCATCCAGCTCCCCCTTGGCTTCTCCTTCTCGCAGTGGGGTCGAGGGCCACTGTACTCAGTGAACACAATCCACAGCCGGCCTGTGTGCACTGTGTCCTGACTCTACCCTGCGCGGCTTTCTCTCCCTCCTGCTTCAGAGCACTGTGGACTCAACATGCATCATATCAGCCGGACCACCTGTCATCACGCAGGTGAACTGGGAATCAGCAGGTCTGGGTGGGAGCCTGGGCACAAACGCGCTTACAAGCACCTCAAGTGACTCCAGCGGGTTATCTGGACGCACCTTGAGAGACAACTTATTTGAAAGAAGAATTGTTGAAAGGCCTGCTTTTCAGATGGCTTGAGCCGTCAGAGATAACCCAAGCCAGGGAGCAAGAAGAAATCGAGTCTTTCTGAACACCTGCTGGTCATTTGTATTCATTCTCTCCAGATAAGAATCACTGAATTTTCCAAGCCATCTCATCCCACCCTTTCTTTTGCCCTCCCCACACTAAGAAAACTGAGCCCTGCAGGAGTGGTCACTGGCTCAAGGAGCAGAAGGCCCATCTGTCTGGGTTTAAATGGCTCCTGTATTTTCTATAGGAGTCATTTTCTATAATTATTCCATGATTACAGCCTGGTCCACATACATCACCACCATGCTGCAATGCACTGGGGTAGAAAGTCAAGGCCACTCGGCAGTTGCCCGCTGAGCCTCCAGCTGGGCTAGTATGGCCAGTTGGCCTCACCAGGCCTCATCCAACCCGCCCTTTATCCAGCCCGAGACAGGCATTGCCCAGAATGTCATTTCCAGCTGCCCTGGAAGCATCATGACTCCCCGGCCCCCAGGCCACAGTGAGAGGCCCCTCCGTGTTGCTCCCATAGCTCCCGCCTTCCCTGTAGCTTTTCTCTTCTGGTATTACGGTTGCCTATTTATCTGTCCATCTCCCCTGCTAGAACATTAGTTCTAGAACATTTGTCTTGTTTATATTTGTGTCCTCACCCCTAGGAAAGTGCCCGGCATGCAGCAGGCACTCAGAAAATGCTTGTTAACAACAGCAATAACACACACTTACTAAGCATTTAGAAAGGGCTGGGTGCTTCGCAGTAGTTAAATAAGCCAGTCCTCACAAAACCCCTCGAGTGCTATGAGTACCCCCATTTCACAGGTGAGGAAACCAAGGCTGAGAGATGAAATGACTTTCCAGCTAGTAAGTGGCAGAGCGGGATGGACCTGGCTGATGGGGTCTCCGGATCCCCACTCCTGCTACACCCTTGCCCACACTCCGTGGGGCTGAGTTCCACAGCAGAAGGCTGTCCTCAGATGGCTCTGGAGCTTCAATCCAGCTTGGCTGCCCACAGCCTGGCTGCCGGGTCAGGAGAGAGCGGCCCACCCTGCTCCATCTCAAGGTCTTTGCTAAGGGCCAGGCAGCGAAGACTTTTAAGATGAAAGAAGCTGCCCTGGTCCCCCTCCCTCGTTCTGGAGGAAACTGACTCAGACTATCAAGGGGGACACACAGAAATACCACAGACATTGAGAACATTGTCGGGAATGAAGTTGCGGACATTGTGAACTCCAGCCCTTCCTCTCTAGGTTTTTCCTTTCCTGTCCCATGGTGGGAGAGGACCACACCCCTTCAGCGCTGGAAGACATCCTCCCCAGGCCTGGGGGTGCCAGACCCCCGGGGAGGACAGAGATGTTGCCTGGGTTATATTCTCCCAACTGTGAGTGGGGAGACCCATACCGAGGGGCCGGGAGGAGCCTTTGTGAAGGCAAGTCACAGATGCCCAGGGACGGGGGACCCCCCCCCCCGCCCCCCCCGCCCTGCCCAGGTCAAGGGGCTGCCTGGTGGCCTGTCCTTTGGTGTGCCGGCAGCTTGTGTCTCCCCCCCCCCCCGCCTCCCTGCCTGACACATGGGAGGTTGGCCCCATGCAGACACCCCTCCCGCCCTCCCCTTCCCATGTGCCCTGGAAGACTCTCTTCTGCCGCACTAAGGTTACGCAAGGCCCAAGGCCATGGTTAATTGCCAGCCCCGGGGCTTTTGCTGATTCCTCCAGGGGCTGGCTAAGGGCAAAGTCTTAGTTCCCAGGAAAAAACTGGGGGTGAGAGAGAGAATGGGCCTCTGGAGAGGGAGGCTTGGAGGAGGGCAAGAGAGAGCACGACTCGGGAGAAGCCAGCACCAGAGCCCTTCAGGCTGGGAGTGAAAATAGATGCCAAGTGGAAAGCTGGCTCAGCCTGGCCGGGAAAGAGGCCCGAGAAGGCGGCAGGCAGTGCGCTGTGCTCCTCGAGAGGACGGATGGACAGACAGACTCTGCAGCCACGTTGTGTGCTCGGAACTGTCACCAGCCAGGGCTTTGCTCTGGGCCCCTCGGGCCTGGTGGTCAGTTCTGGAGAATCCTGTATGAGCAGCCCTGAGACCAGGCGGGTGCGGGGGTGGGAACGGCTGTGTTCAGGGAGACTTAGTGGCGCGCTGGCCTGCCCACTAGTGTTCATGTGCGCACCGAGGCAGTGCTTATTTTTACCTGGGTAGGTTCAGCTTCTGATCACAGAAATGGTGGGGGCTTTCCATTGGTTTCCATGGAAATATTAGAGCATCTGCTACCCCATCAAACAAGGCTAAGCTGGTAGGACTCTTTCTGGAATTACTTTGCTATTTCTACCTAGGAAAATCGTCCCACCTGCGTTTTTACCACTGCCGTCTTGTGTGGCAGAGGAAAGGAAGGGCAGTTCAGAGGGACCAGGCTGGTGCCTGGGAGCCTGGGGTCTGGTCCCAGCCTGCCCCACCTGATGGCTCCCCCCCAGAGCAGCCAGCCTGTCTTCCAGGAGTGCCTGGGGTCGTATGGGGGCGCACGTGGGCCGAGGAGCAAGCTACCAGGTGCAGGAGGGGTGAGAGCTGAGCGTGCTCAGTTTCAATTTTCTAGAATAGAGGGAGGGTGGCACTGAAGGCCTTGGCTCTGGAGTCAGAAAGGAAGGCGCTGGTGCACGTGTGCATGTGAGAAGTGGCTTTATTCCAGGAGTTTTTCATAAAGACGAGGTCCTCAGGGGCAGCAAGTGGCACATGCTTTGGTCAGGAAGAGGAAAAGCAAAACAGAATAGGGCTGAGTCCCAAAGGACAGCTGACAAGTGCTGAGCCTGGTTTGATCACAGGAAAGGAGGGGGCCCTCTCAAAGGCTCTCTGAGCAGCAGTCCTCTTACATTCATTGAGAGATGCCCACGTTCCCTGTCCCCAAAGGTCCACACTACCCACTGGGGTGGAAACGCACAAGGGAGATGGCGGTGGATGAAACATAACACAGAGGATGGGAGAAGTGTTGCCCTGGGGGCCAAGGGCTCCACGCTGGGGAGCGCAGGGGTTCAGGCTAGGGCACAGGAGCACTGCTGAGAGCACGCAAGCCAGCCAGGAGGTGAGAGGAAACCACCGAGAGCCCTCCAGGGCGGGTGTGGGCACCACGGCCCCAAGGGCTGCATGGAGGGAGCAGGACCACAGCAGTTGAGGCACAGCAGGGAGGGGGAGGGGCATGGCAGCTCCAGTGACTGGTAGCTGCAACCCAGAGCAGAAGTTCAGACCGTTTGGCAATCAGGGACCTCTGTAAGAAGCTGGGGAAATCCACGGACCCTCTCCTCAGGAAAATGCATATATGCACACAATGCAATATTTGGGGGACCATTTCAGGATATTCCTAGGCCTTCTGGAATCCATGAACTCCCTAGGGGTTCCAGGCTGATTTGCTTTGGGTGGGAGACCCACCAGGGTTCCTGGTGCCACCAGTCTTTTCCCTAAGATCACACTGCCTGAGCCAGTGGGGCGGGGGGAAGAGGAACTTGGGAAACAGCAGAAGCGGTTCCAAGACCAGGCCCTGGGGGAGGGGAGAGACTCCCAGTGGTTGTGAGAAGGAACTGGGAGCTCTGCACAAACTGGGGCCTCCAGCCAGCCTCCAGGCCACTGCAGCAGCCGAGCCCCAAGGGCCTCCCTCCTGCAGTGGGGCGGGGTGAGGACAAGTTCCAGCCTGGATGGCTTAGCCCCCACGACCTAGGGATGCTCCAGAATGGAGGTCCGTTATTACCGCCCTGCCCCCAGCCCTGTAATGCTGTATTTACAGAGGCAAGGGCTTTTGCGAAGGCAGGAGTCAAAAACTAGGAGGGAGGATGGGGCTGTTCAGTGGCGTCTTTCCTTATGGGGTCCACACGGTACGACTGGGCAGGGGGCCAGGGCACCGCTGGTCTTTAAGGCCCAAGGGAGAGGTCTTGCCCTGACACGTATCCACATAGAAGTGGGATCTGTTTAATAAACTGTGTCCTGAGGCTGCCCCTGGAGATCCCCCTTCAGCCCCTTGCTGAGGCGTGGGAACCAGAGCGCAGGACCGGAGGCACCGGCCCTGGGGCTGGTACGTGTGGGAGGAATTAGGTCCCCGGGGAGAGACCCACCCTTTTCAGTGCTATGCTGCTCTTCCATTCCTCGTCTTTCTGCAGATCACCCATCCTTTGCCCTGGATCCTAACCCTCCCGCCCCCAACCCAGCACCTGCCTGGGACAGGCCACTGAGCTGCTCACCTCTTGCTGTTCCCCACCTGCCCCGCAGGCTGCCCCTTCCTCCGCCTTCAGCCTGCCCCCCCCCCCCCCCCCCCCCCCCCCGCCCCCACTCAAGAGAAGCATTTCATGCTGTGGGCAGAGTAACAGCTAAGACGGAAACCACCACAGGGCCAACCTGCCAGGCCCCAGTCGTTTTTGTCTCCCCCCCCCCCGCCCCGTCCACACTGCCCACATTCTCCTCTCGTGCCCGATCCCACAGGCAGACCCCTGGCCCAGTGGGACCTGTGTGGGCTGCTGCCCTCGTTCTCCCCAGCCAACAAGGGGAGGCCCCCAACCACTGTCCAGACCTCGGGAGGGTGAAGGGAGGTAACAAAGGGCCAGGGCTCCTGCCCAGTCTCTGCCCTGTAGCAGTCCAGCATGCTGACCTGCTTCTCTCCCCAGGCAAGGCCGGGGTGGCGGCCAGGGCAGCAGGGCATCACCCCTGCGTCCTCCCCGTACAAGCTTTGGAGACTCGTGTGTCGTGGCAGCGGTGTTTGCTGATGATTCCGGCAGAAGTGTGAGGAGATGGAAACGGCCCGCTTTACACTCCCCCACCCTAACCCCCTTCGGGTCCCAAAGTCTCATGCAAAAGGTACAGGAGGCCCCAGGCTACGGTCATGTGTGCGGCAACAGCTGCCACTGCTGGGCTGGGACGCCGGCCTGGCACTTGCTGGTCACCAGCTCGGTGGTCTTGGCCTCCAGGCAGAGGCCGCTGACTGGATGCTGGAGGAAGGAGGCTTTTCTCCTCCATCTCTGTGGGGAGAGGCAGGAAAGGAGGGGAAGGAGAAAACAATGACTAATAATAATCATAACGTTCATCCCTTCATTACTCGTGTATGTAAGTGGCCCTAGGACACACCCCCATTTAAATGGTCTGCGTGTCCCTCCCTTACAGAAGCGGTGCCCACACCCCACATGCAAGCCTGAAGCCCGTTCCTCCTGAACGCTCTGGCTTCTGTAGGCTGGCATGAAGAACTCACTGTCTAGGTCAGAGGCCCATGGGCTGAGTCTAGCCCAGAGATGTATGTTGTCTGGCCTGCACGTGCTTATTTAAAATTTGGCTTAGTCGTCACATAAAAACCTGCATTTCCAACTTCCCTTTAGACACGGGCCTGGTTTCTTTGGTGGCATCAGTTGGTTGTGGCTGAAGACCTGCTCTCTGCTGGTCAGCCTAGCTCCTGTTCACCACAGTCCCACCTGGGCCCGACTTTTCTCCTCTAGGGCTTCCCCCCTTGCACTCTGTAGGCCCTTGAGTTTGAGTCCTGGATGGACTAGGTGAATCTTTTACTCCTTCAAACAAGATTTCTTCTTCCTGCAGCTCTAAGCTTCTGCCTGTAGCTGTGCAGCCGGTTACCTACACCCTTTAATGGGAACTGGTCACCATCCTTGCAGAGATGAAGACTGATGGGATGGTGAGGGCACTTGAGCCCCCCTATCAGAGTCATGAAGGGGCTCCTGGTGCCTCCCCTGCCCCAAGCTTGTGTAGACCATTTTGGAAGTGGCTGGATGGAGGATGGAGTGTGGTCTGGAGAAGGGATGAGAGGCTGAGACCCAGGTTTCGAGGCTCAGGGAAAAGTACAGGGAGACAGGTCTATTTTTGGTTTCTCTCCTATTTCCCTCCCTTGCATCCATAGCCCCTCTTCCTATATCTACCTCGTCCTCTGTCCTCCGAAGAAGTGGGTAACGCTGGAGCCACAGGGCTCTGAGGGGGAGGGGCCCTGTTCTCACTGGAGCAACTGGGAGAAGGGAGATGAGCGGCACCAGCTGCAGGGCCAGGGCTGGGGCTGGGGCGACAGGGGAACGTGGGGTGGCCAGAGAAGGGAACCAACTGGGAGGTGCCAACAGGGTGGAAGGCAGCGAGGGGGCGTGCTGCAGAGCCCAGATTCCCTTTAGGAATGCGGGGCTGAAAACCAGTCTCTCTGGCCCATGTGGTCCCAGCAGAGAGGGCTCCCTGGTTTAAAGGTCCCGGGCAGTGGGCAGGATAGGGCCTTTGGTCCCTCTGGAAGTCACAGCATCCTACTGCCTTGTGCTCTTCCAGTCTCTGAGCTCCTGGGAAGGGTTGGCCACACACCCCAGCTGGGCGTTGCTGGGCCACACCCTTCTTTCATCCTTATGGCCAATGTGATCTGCACCTTCCTTGACACAAGGTAGGCACCCAATGTAGTTTTGTTTTATGAAGAATGAATGCATGGGTGAATGAATGAATCACCCAGTCATGAGGAAGTGCTCTGCAAATCATGGGATTCTCACTTCCTACCGGTGCCATCAGGCACGGTCTCGGGGTCTCCCGGACTCTCCTGGCCATTATATTCCGGCCTGGCCAGGGAAACAATATCACCTCACAGCGCTCTCCCATCACCACAGTCTCGGTTCTTGCAGATTCCTTATAAGGCAGACAGGGAGGGAGCCCCTCATTATATAAGTGAGGAGACTGAGGCTCAGAGAGGTGAGGGGGGGTGACGGAGCTAGGACCCGCTGACACCATCCCAGCAGCTCTATGCACATGTATCTCTCCCATAACTGATACCCAGGTGGCCTCAGAAACGGGACCAAAGGGGGACCAGGAAGGGAGGCATAGATTTGAGAAGGCACCGTCAGTGGGAGAGCTGCTCACACTGTCCTCCTGGAAGAGAGGGCTCAGCTGTTGGGGCCCCTGCAGGATTTGCAGGGGCAGAAGGAATGGGGCCAAAGGAGATTTCTCGGAGCCCTGGGTCAGTGTGAAGGGGAAAATGGATGCTTCAGCTCCAGAGAAGTATTTGAGTGGTGGCTGCCCTAGGAGCTAGGCCTCAGCAAGGATGGGCTTGGGAGTGGGCTCAAGGCCTGACCCTCAGAGAGGCCCGTACTCCAGGTAAAGGGGAGCCTGGGGACCCACCTAACTGCAGGGCAGGGGCAGAGGGCAGGCAGGACAAGCTGCAGCATCCCAACCAGGAAGTGCTTCAGATGTGTCCCGCAGGCCCAGCGAGCAGGCCTTGGCACACAAAGCTCTCTCTCTCCCTCCCTCCCTCCCTCCCTCTCTCTCTCTCTCTCTCTCTCACACACACACACACACACACACACACACACGCACGCACGGAGGCTGAAGGGAGAGGAAGGATCCGGCTGCTTTTCCAGAATAAAATAGCAAAACTGCCAGTCATCCCTGAAGAAAGAGCCGAGCCAGGCAACAGAAAAGGGGTGGGAGGAAAACCCGGTGGCTGAATCAAAAAGCCAGGCACTCTTCTGCCTCTTGCACTGCCCTCCAGGCTGGCCAGGGTCAGGCACAGTGGGAGCTACCAAGAAGGTGTGGGCAGAGGAAGGACTGGACCAGAACTCTGGCCTTTGTGTCCATTCCCGGGCAGAGGGGCAGCCCTCCCAGCCAGGAATGGAGTGGGGCTGTCACTGGCTGCTGTGTGCCCTGAGCATCCATTTCTTCCTCAACAGGCAGGTCTGAGCTGTCTCCCAGGATTAATGAAAATAGGGCAGGTGAGAGTGTTTGACAAATGGAAAAGGCAGTGCTCACATGAGGCCAGCGTGCCAGCTTGGAAAACACTGTGGCTGGATCTGTTTCCCCAATCAGCCAGCAGTCAAGAAATACTTACTGAGCACCTACTATGTGCTGGAGCAAGACTGTGGGCTTAGGAGTCATGCTGACCTGGGTTTGAACCTCAGTTCCACCCCTTCCCAACTGTGTGATCTGATATGTTTCTTAAATTCAGTGAGCCTCAGTTTTCTCACCTCTAAAATGGGGTTAGTACTCGGGCCCACGTTGCTGGGTTGCTGGGAGAATTAGATGAGATGACCTATGTAAAAATCCTAGCACAGGTTCTCAGTAAAAGCTCACGTTTATTTTGGCTGTGCTGGTTGTCAGGGGTTAGGGATACAGTGTTGACAAGATAAATAGTCCCTGCCCTCATGGAGCCACAGGATGCAGGATGGACATTTAACAACTGCTTACCATACTTCCTCATGAGGAAAACAATAGACTTGACCTGGATACTGGCTCAGGTCCCCCACATCCTCACTCTGGAGGGCTTATTTGAGTCTGTATGTCAAACCCGCACTGTGTTCCCCGGGGCTGCCGCTATCCCGTGCCCATGGGCGAGAAGGCTTACCTGCCTGCCTTCTCTCGGGTTGCACGCCTGCAGTACGACCAGGGACCCGGGGGAGATGGAGGTGGAAGTGGCAGCCAGGCACTTCCCCTGCTGCTGGATGAGATGGTCACTGAACAGCCACGCCTGCAAGACAGGGAGCAGAAAGGCCAAGTCCACAAGTACAACAATGGATGGATGGATAGATGGGTAGATAAAGCAAATACACTGTGTATTTTGGTAAAATTTTCTACAAATACTAGGGATGGGTGTATGGGTAATCACTGTACAGTTCTTTCAACTTTTCTGTTTGAAATTTTTCATAATAAAATATTGGGGTGGGGGAGCTTAGCTGGAACTGGCCAGAGGATGTATGAAGGGATGCTCAGGGGATGGGGAGAAAGACAGGACGTGGGAGCAGGGCAGCCAGGGAGCCAGTCCACGCCGGGGTCTCCATGACCTGCTCTAGTTCAACATGGTACATCAACACTCATGTTGCGCACATGTGTGCACAGGAGTCCTGGATGCCCTGTATATACAGGCGGACCACAGCTGCATCCCAGGAGAGAACTGGACTCTGTTTGGGCAGCATTTCTACCTCTGCAAGGAGAAAGTAGGTGGTGCCCATAGGGCGACTGTGTGACAGGCTACAAAGGTGACCGAGTATGGTGGGAGCAGACCCAAGGAGCAGAGTGGGAGGGGACAGCTTGCAGGGTCCTTGGGAAAGTGGGTTTGTGAAAGGTGTAGGCAGAGGGAAGATGAGAACGGGCAGAGGGAGGCCCCCACCCGTGCCCGGTCCTGACCTGGGGGCCCTAAGCCACCTACCTGAGCCGCCGGCGGGCTCTTGGCAGACCCTCTGCAGGCCCCCATGCTGAGCAGGAAGTTACCAGCCGTGTCCTGGCCCTGGGATTCTAAGCAATTAGCCCCCTGCTTAATGATGCCGGGGAGCACTTCCTTCACGGGGACGCTGAGAGAAAAGGCAGCGGTCAGGCTTGTCCTCTGCCCTCCCCGGGCTTACCCACACTTACCCAGAGGGTAGCGCCCTGCCAGCTCTCGGGGCACCCAGGGGTCCATGGGGAGGGGAGCCGGGGAACAGGCCTGGCAGCAGGGGGAGGTGAGCAGGGGTGCCTCTGGGAAGACTGGGCCTCACCCTACTGGGTTCTGGGCAGCTCCGGGAGCTCCAGGGCCTGCCCTGGAGGCCAGGCCTGAGAGGGTTCAAACCAGAAACCAGGGCTCCCCAGCCCAGAAAGAGGACAGGCTGGGGAGAGGCAGAGGCCCAAATGTGGGCTCAATAAACAATCTCGAAATGACAGGGAAGGGGTCACTTTGAAGAGGCAAATGTAAAATACACAAATATGAAAATGTGTTCAATCTCACCAACGATTAAAGAAATACATATTAGAGAGGTACCACTGTTTGTTTACCATATGTGTATATGTGTGTGTGTGTGTGTGTGTGTGTGTGTGTTTATATAATTTATTTACATACATAAAACATTTATATATTTAAGTGTATGTGTGTATATCTGTGTATATATATATATACACATGTACATATATATATACATATATATATATTTTAAAATATCACTACCTAGTATTGGCAATAGCTGTGGGATTGGGTGAGAACATAAACTGACCACCTTTTCTGGAGGGCAGTGTGGTATTATGTATCAAAAGCCTTAAAAATGTGCACACCTTTGTCCCACTTCCAGTAACTTAGTATCCTAGGGCAATAATTAAATATGTGTGCAGAGATTTAGTTTAAAAGATATTCATTCAGAGTGACTGCTTATACTGAAAACATTGGAAATTCCTAGATATCCAACAAGAGGGGATGGGCTAAGTAAATTCTGATTCATCTGTAGGATGGAAAATACCTTTAGCCATTAAAAATGACTCTGGTAATGTGGGAAAGTGTTCAAAACATACAGTTAAGTAAAAGAGGCATGTTTCAAAATAGTGTATTATTGAAACATTTTGTTTGCACAGAAAAAATATGCTTAAACACACACACACACAGATATAAAACACACTGTCTTACCCTGTGGGTAATAAACCTAAGGGGGATGCTGGCCCCAGCTGATGTGGGCTGGTATTCCTGGGTTTAGAAGGTTATACACGCACTTGGCTTATGGACCCACAGGGCGTGATGGGGAAACAGGAGGGCTTAGAGTCTGACCACATGCTAATCCCATCTGCCTCTGTTACCTCTGTCAAGAAGAGAACCTGGGCGGGGGGCATGGATCAGAACATTTCCGGCACTCTCTTGTCTCATGTGGACATCCTGCAGAACCTTGACCAAATCAGGTCTTCCTTCCTCAGGGCTGGTTGGAAGCCCCCGGATTCCCAGAACCTACCCGCTCTCACAGAGCCTCAAGGAGAGCCCTTCACTTTCCCTCCACACTACTGGTAGCAGTGCCCCTTCAGAACCCCACACCCCCTTGTAAGAGGTCATGCAGTTCTAGAGCAGAGGCTGCAAACTGTTGGCCCCTAAGCTGAATCTGGCCCTGGACAGGTTTTTTCTGACCTGCACAGTGTGATTATTGGTGCTTTTAATTAGTTGGCCGTATTTTAAGATTTCAAGTTTACACAGAAAAATCCAGCTTCTTTTTTTTTTGAACTTTAGAATTTTTTTTTAAATTTTAGAATTTTATTTATTTTTTTATACAGCAGGTTCTTATTAGTTACCCATTTTATACATATTAGTGTATATATGTCAATCCCAATCTCCCAATTCATCACACCAAAAATCCAGCTTCTTTTTTTTTTTCACCTTAGAATTTTTTTTTAAATTTTAGAATTTTATTTATTTTTTTATACAGCAGGTTCTTATTAGTTACCCATTTTATACATATTAGTGTATATATGTCAATCCCAATCTCCCAATTCATCACACCAAAAATCCAGCTTCTTTGGAAAACATAGCAAGGTCAGGCTGCCACACCGAACTTGCATTCCAGCACGGCACTAACATACTGTCATGAGCAGCAGCTGCCCCCTTGTGGGTGGAGCTTGTGCATTTCAGTTTGCCACAGTCCCCTCCCCTCCCCTCCCTACAGTCATCCCCACCCACTTGACTTATTGACATTGTCTGTCTGATCACTGTAGGATGTAAGTTTGCAACCTGCTAGGTGCAAGGCTGTTGGGAGGCAAAAGCTCCACCCCCTCTGCTTCATCCGGGGGCAACGTGTTATACTTCCCCTCTATACAGAGACAAGGTCCTGCGGGAGCCTCTTTGAGAAGCCAAGGTTGTTTCAGACCCGTCTCTTCTCTTCCCCTGCCTACCCGCCGATGCTTAGGAAGATGTGCAAGATGATCAGTTTTCAGAGGTGAGGTGTGTACTGTCCAAGTGTGGCAATGTCACTGACAACAAAGGCCTGCCCACTGATGCTTATGCAGGAAACCCGGGGCTTGGGCACAGCAATCTCAAGACCAGATGCAGCTGCTGAGGTGTCTTGAGTGGTAGCAGCCCTGCAGCAGCTGGGATGGCCATCACCACCCTTCCTCTGCTCTCTGGCAGAGCCAGGCTAAGCTGTCCTATTTGTTGGTAGCCCTCTTAAGTCTGCATCTGCTTTCCTCTCTGTGGACCACCTCGAAGCTGGGCTGCCATTAGCCCTTATGATGCCTTTGTAGAAACAGCAATAGGCATCCCTTTCTCGAGACACTTTACTTCCATCTGTTAGGAAATCATCATAATATAGATGATTTTCCTACATTATGAAAAAAAAGACAAAGAAGTCTTTTGTTAGAAGACTTTTACTGTCATTTGCCAGGAATTGTAGTAATAAATGTACAATACTGTGTGACCAGCACCCTTCAAATATGGTGTGCTTGTGCAGTGCACAGCCTGCACAACTGTTCCTGAACATCCTAATAAAAGTAATACATTAGCAATTGCTGAGGCTAGCCACAGAACTCTGATCTGGAAAAGCGGCAGCACTGTAGCAGTATTGCAGGCAGGCCTAGGAAAGCAAAGGCCTCTCCGTTCAGCCTCCTAAGTCTCTCCACTGACCATCTGCAAGTGTGGCCCAACTATTAGGATCCTGGTTGGAGGAACATGGTATCATTTGGGCCTATAGATCTCCTTTCTAATTAACAACCTGATCCACTCCGGGCCCCTCGCCCTGAGAACTGAGGCAGAACATGAAGGAACAGACCGAGGATGAGTAAACTGGATAGGAATGAGCTGCAGTTTCTACCTTAACAACAAAAAGTCATTTTTAAACGTCCACACAGTGACAAAACAAACGGAAGATGACTTATGCTCCTCGTATCACACGGCTGGTTTCATCCCCTCTCCTGTCTTTGTGATAGATCCAGACTTATGGTAATTATAAGCTACATCTTCCTCTTGGTCCTCAGGGGATGACATGGGACACTGCGTGGGGACTGGGGTGTGGGGAGGAGAGGCACATCCCCGATCCTCCCAACTCTTCCCCCAGCTCCCCAGCTCCTGTCTGAGGCCTGGAGTCCATGACTCCAACCAGATAGCATGAAACTCTGACAGAACATAAAGAAAGATTATGCTTTTTTCCCTCAGAAATGACATGTCTGAATGAAACTGTCCCCTTAAAAGCGGCCACTTGAGGAAGCTGTTCATTTATTACAAGTTTGTAAAGTAATGTTCTTCCGTGCACAGCCATCATCTGGGGAGCTGGGGTTATCCGGCTGCCAACTTTTTCCAAGGATGCTGCCGCTGCTCAGACCCTTCTGGAATTCCTTGAACATTGCTTGCAGAGTCAGTTTATCCTTGTTACTTGTTTCAGTCTTGTCACCCTGTATTTGGGACCCAGGATTGTATTATCTGGGTTAATCAACCAGCTTACTCACTGGACTTGGCTACAACTTAACTACGGCCGTTTTCCAAAAATCAAATCTGACCTTGAAGGACAAAGATTTGCCTCCTTGGAGGATCTGGAGGCTCTGAGAGGTGGAGTGTTCTGGAAAGCCATGATAGCATCCTTGGGAGACAGCAGTGGAATAACCCATTCCCCGAGGTGACATTTCCAGAAGAGAGGATGCTAATTTCAAAGTTATTACTGATGCTTATTGACTATGCAATTTATTCAGTTAAAAATATTTATCGAGTGCCCATTTTGTGACAGGCACTGTTCTAGGGGCTGGAGATAAGGCAGTGAACAAAACAGATAAACACCTCTACCCTCACGAAGCTTCCTGTCAAGTGTTGGGAGATGACAGTAAAATTAATTGGCCACATATATGCTGAATGACAATAAGGGTGACAGAGGAGAATAAGCAGGGAATGCTGGGGAAGGTGTAGTCGGCCAATACAGAGTTTGGGGGAGCCTCACGCAGCGGGGACAGCTGAGTCAAGACCTGGAGGAGGTGAGGAATGATGTAGCCAGGATGCTGAGAAGGATTTTGAAATGAGGAAAAAAAGAATCAGCTCTGCCCTCCCTACCGCTGTCATTACAGCTACTGCCCACCGTCCTGTCGCCCACACACATACACCATTTGCATGCTGCTTCCTCATTTGCTGGAGCAAACATTTCCCCATGTTTTTTCACGGTTTATGATTATAACATTAATTGACACATATTTGTTTAGATCGACGCATGATGATTCACTAAACCCAGCCCCTATCGTTAGTTTTTTCTCAATTTTTTCACCGCAGAGAAGCCTACAGTGGACATTTATTTGTCAACAGGTTTTTTGCTTTGGTTGCTTTATTTCCTTAGGATAAACTCCCAGAAGGAAGAGAGGAGAGTCAAAGGAAATGAGTGTTTCTGCAGCATTTGCTACATAATGCACTGTTGCTGTCCTAAGGGGACAATGCCCATTTCTAGCTCTAAGGCCCAGTCTGTTAAACTTTGGTTCCTACCACACCTCACTCTTAACTCCTGGTAACCTCCTCCCGGTTCCTCCAGACCCTTCACATGACAACAAACACCGACAGCTAGAAAGAGCCAGATTGCCTGGGCTGGGGAGAGATCAGGGGGAAGGGTCCCCAAGCTGCCGGCCCCCACCCAGGCCAGATGCACGAGCTGAGGGCTGCACTCACGTGAGCTCTGGGTAGACGTTATCCAGGTACCAGCGGAAGGACTTGCAGTTCATCTTCTTCCTCTGCTCGATCCGCGTGGCCACGCTGGAGGATAAGGCAATGCTCGGAGGGCGTGAGAAGGCCCGGGAGGCTGGCCCCCTCTTTCCACCTACCCCAGGGAGCTAGGGCCAGGAGCTGTCCAAGCCTGCCTTCCAGCCTTGGTCCCTGCCTTAAGTCATTCTCTGACCTGCAAGCTCCTCCCAGGGTTCCTGGCCACGCCTTACTTCTCTCCTCAAATTCCTGCTCACCTTTCAGGATGTGCCCAGCCCACGGGGGGCCAGGCTTTAATCTCGGCTTCTTAACTCCTTGAGACCTGAAGTGAGGATACCACTATCTGGTCCTTATTTTCACAGAGAGAGCAGAGCCTTAAGGAACTAGAAGTTTTCCTTTCCTGCATTCCAGTTGAGCAGAAAGTGTCTACCAACAAGAAAACCACGCTTTAAACATCTTTCCATAAAGTTGGCAGATAAAAACCATCTGATGTGTCCATGGACACCTTCCTCAGCTCCACTGACCATAATGGCCACTGGCAGATGACCCTCACTGCCTCCCTGAGCCAGTTTTTTCTCAGTTAAGCGGGGACACAACCATCTACCTCCAAAGGTTTTTGTGAGAATCAAATGAATAAAGGGGACATAAGTGCCTAGCACAGGGTAGGTCCTCAGCAGATGTTACTTCCCCACTAAAAGAAATAGTGACATAACTTCTTTTTTTTTAACCTTTTTTTTTAAGGGATAGATACAAACAAATAGAGGGAGATTCATTGATGATCGCTAATAATGTTTTCAAACATATCTGACCACAGCATTAAGTAAGAAATAAATACACTGTGACCAAGTATACCCATGGGCATATATGGCTACAAACATACAACCAAAATAAGAGTTTTCACAAAGCAATATCTATCCATAAATGCAATCAACTCTTATTTTCTGTTCTGTTCTATACTAATCTGTAATATTCTAGTTCTCTATCATTTAAAAAAAAAATACTGGTCACGACTCTCTAAATTGATTTCACAATTAATCCACATTTTGAAAATGCTTAACTAGACTATAGTCTAGTTAACAGTCCAGGGCAGAAAAATAAGCTAACAGATCACCGTCAGATTTTGAACAGCAAGGGGTGGAGTCAAACCCCCGAGTGTTTTCTACAGAGAGCCATCCGTAAGCACTTCCACAGATGTCTGTCCTGCAGGCAGCCTGTGGACCGGCAGTGCTCTCATAAGCGAGCCCTCCCTGGTTATTTCTCCCTATGAGGCTGCATCCTCCTCAAGGACCAGAACCTTGTCTCTGCGTCGTATACCCTACAGGCCCGGAAGAGCCCAGCGGCCTGGGGCAGCTCAGTTGCTAAGGAGACCCTGAGCGCTTCCCTGGTGTACATACGATTTTGTATTTTGCTAAGGTTGTGGAGGGAGGCCAAGGGGGGCTGGGAGAGGGGCCCACCTGCCGAAGGCCTTCCCTATGGCCGAGGGCCGGGCCTCGTAGTAATACTGCTTGTATTCATCCATCCACACCTCTGCAGTGCGCTTGGTATTCCTAAAAGGGTAGGAAGGAGCAAAATAAGGTCACCAGGGCAGTGACAGAATTAGAGTTGGGCTCAAGATCGGCTCTGTGAACTACAGAGTGCACACGAAAGAATGCTGATTGGGGTGGTATCAATGAGAACAGTCTTTTTGGAGGACAATCTGTCAGCATCCATCAACTGTGTGGGTATGGATACTCTTTGACACTCCACTTTGAGGAACCTACTCTACCAAAATACCAGCATGTGGGCAAAGGGACATGTACAAGAATACTTGTGTCATAAAACATTCGTGACAACCTAAATGCCCATCAACAGGAGAATAATGAACTATGTCCACATGATGGAGTACTAGGCAGCCTCAAAAAAGAACACCAAGGTTAGTACATACTGACGCTGAAGGATGTCTACAATTTAGTGTGGAGTGGCAGAAAAGCATGCTGCAGAAAAATCATGCAGTGCGACCCCATTTATATAAAAAACACAAAAAGAATAGACACATGTATATGTTTAACTGAATCACTTTGCTATACACCTGAAACTAACACAACATTGTTAATCAACTATACTCCAATATAAAATAAAAAGTTAAAAAAATGTAAAAAAAAAAACCCCACAAACACATGCATCTCTAAACAGAAACTATATATATATATATGAAAATAAATTAAAAGACCTGAAATGATAGGCTAGAAATCTATTAGCAGTAGTTACTTTTGGAGAGACAAGTGGATAGGAGTAAGACTGGGTGAAAGGGACTTTTACTTTTTTCTCTCTATGTGGTATGAAGAGTAAAAATTATAATGTATAATATACTATATGTACAGATATATATAATATATATGATATAGTTTGAATTTTTACAATAAACATGTATCACTTTTACAAGTATAAAAACAATTAAAATGGGATAAGGGGAAGCAAAACAAAAAGACAGGCCATTTGATGAGCTAGACCTGGGGAGCCACCGCTGGCAACAAGGGAGCCTGAGAAGATGAAGACTCATCCTTGGGAGGGAGTGTTCATGACGCTCCTCCCACCCTCCCCTTGCCACCAGCATCAGGGGGGCAGGTGATGGGGGTGGTCTTCTAGGACCCTGCCCACTGCCCCTCAAGATGAAGTGCACGCTGTGGCTGGGGACACGGATGGGCAGACGCTGACCAAGTCAGGGTCAGGACATGGCATCTGTGACCAGTACTTGGGACCCAGTGAGTGGAGGGCAGCTTCCAGTTGGTCATTTGGCTGGTTTTCCAAGACCCTCATAGACAAGGACAGTCAAAACAAGTGAGGCCTGGTGGAGACACTCCCAGCTTCATCCTTCCAGCCTGAAAGTACTGGGATCCCAGAATGGGGGGCAAATGGGGAAACCGAGGCCCAGAAAGGTGGGGTAGCTACCCACAGTCCCTTGGGTAACTGACAGGGCTGAGGTCTAGGTGTCCTAGCTCTTAGTGCGGTGCTCTTTGCACTGTGACCCACCTGATGTAGGTGAGGGCGTTGCCCTCAGGAAAGTTGTAGGGGTGCCGTTTCCTGAAGACGTGGCCCACCCGGCTGCAGGGCACGATCTCCAAGCTCCCACCACACATCCACACCCGGAAGGAGAGCTCTGCAGAGACGGCAGCCATCAGGACGGGAAGGAGCCACTTGGCAAGTCCCCACGGAGTGAAGGTGGGAAGGATCTGGCTTCCCTTGCCTTTGGTGTCTCCTTGGAGGCATATGCTGGTGTCAGAGCTTCTGGGCCTGTTTACATGGGGTGCACCCACTCCTTGCACGTGTTCCTGACTGCTTCCTCCATGCTCGTGCACACACACATCCCACACACACACACCCTCCTCACACCCATCCCACGCACACATACCCTCCACACACACATACCCGCTGGCATCTTTCTGGCTGGCCCAGACCTCCCTCGTGGCCCCGGGGGTCTCCATTTACAGCTACCGGTGGCCCTACTGAGACATACTTCCTTTTGGTGGTGGTGTGACGCTGAACGAGCCTTCACAGATGACTGTGGTCCCTAGTAGTGCTGGGAGAGGCGAGCAGTGGCCATCCTGCCTCCCAGAAGGGGACGTCACAAGTTGCCTACTCTGTTTTCCATTCAACAATCCTCACTTCCGGCAAGGACCCACCTCGGCAGCTGGCTGAACCTCTTCTGATTTTCTACTTTCTTTCATTTTAACCCTGAAATTGGACACCCTTTGACACTAAAACACCTCCCTCCTGTCCCAGAAAATCCATAGCCCTTGTTTTTTTGTTTTTAATTAAAAAAAAAAACAAACGGAAGGACCATTTTTTTTCATGAGTTCCAGCCTTGTTTCCTCTTCCTACTCCCCAGGTGGCTGTAAGGACATTTGTGGTCCCTGGCCAGGTCTGGGGGCTCTCATCTGGAGCGACTGCTCAGGGACTTCCCAGGGACTAGCAGAGTGGGGCGGAGGCGGCAGGGCTAAGGCCCACCTCCTGGCCAGCCTATGTGCACCAGGTGACTTCCCAGTGTGGTCCACGACTGGACGTTAGGCATATCTGGACCCGCACCCAGGGTTGGCTACGTTAATGGGCTTCCCTAGGTCTGCCTGCAAACTGCCAGGCCTCTGTCCCTTCTCCTGGTCAGAGCCCTGCAGCTGGTTCGGCAACTGAGATTTAGAACTGGGGACGGAAGATCTGCATTCTGGTACCATTTCTTCCAGATTAACTTTGTTATGCTAGTTAGGTCATTTCATCCCGCATAGTCTATACTGTCCACATTACTATTACTTATTGTCATTTTTATCAACAATAGCAACGACAGGGAATTTCCTGGTGGTGCGGTGGTTAGGACGCTGCGCTTTCACTGCCAAGGGCGCGGGCAGGTTCGATCCCTGGTCAGGGAACTAAGATTCCACAAGCTGCGTGGCGCAGCCAAAAAAAAAAACAATGGCAAGAACAAAAGCGGTAACCATCGTCCATTTACTGAGCACTCACTCTGTGCTCTTTATGGCTGATGTCTAATTCTCACAGCTACCATGTGGCATTGGGTGTTATGATCCCCATGTTTTTAATAAGGACTGTGAAGCTCAAAGATGTTAAATAACCTCTCCAAGGTCACCTCCACGCTCAGGTGCAGAACTGCAGTGTAAAGTTCACACTTTGTCCAGCAAGTCCCACTGTTTGAACCAGATCATGATCTGTCAGACGCCATTGTAGAATCCCTTACACTCTAGTTGGGGGAGGCAGGAACTCAGTAAAAGAAGAAACCAAAATACAAGTAGACAAGAAAATGAGTAGAATACTTCATCTGCGAAGCAGGTAGGAGACTGAAGCAGGTGAGTGGAGTTGGGGGTGAGGCTGCAGTTTTAATGAGGCTGATTAGGGATGTTCTCGATGAAGCGGCAGGGGACATTTGAGCCGAGGCCTGAAGGAGGTGAGGAAGAGGCACGTGACTCTTAGGGATGAGCGTTCCAGGCAGAGGGACAAGCAAGGGCACAGAGCTAGAGGCCAGAGCACAGTGAGCAGGAGTGGAGCGAGGTGCGGGGAGGGCAGGAGGGGCTGAGGGCGGAGCTGGCGGTGTGTGCTTGTGGGGGAAGGGCAGATGGTGTAAGGACTTCGGGTTTTGCTCTGAGTGATGCGGAAGCCCTTGCAGGGTCTTGAGCAGCTGAGTAACATGATCTGACTACCTTTTAAAAGGATCCCTAATGAGAATCCCAAGGTTTTCACGTTTGCCACCCTCACTCAAGGCGGCCTCTGAGTTCCGGCGTTTGGCTCTCTCAGGGGAAACAGGAACGAGTCTCGGTTTTGGCATCTCCCTTCCTTCCACAAATGAACAGTTCTTTTTTTTTTTTTTTTTTTTTTTTTTTTTTG